CCAAAGCCTGCAAACCTTGAATACAAACTGGAGTGCCCTATTTTCTCCCCTACAGGAAGTGCAGCTCCCAAAAATCCTCCATAGGAAAAACAATGGTTGCTTTTGTGTTTCCTGTTGATTTTCTTGATTGTTTTTTTAATTTAATTTAATTTTATTATGTTATGTTAGTCACCATACAATACATCATTATTTTTGATGTAGTGATCCATGATTCATTGTTTGTGTATAACTCCCAGTGCTCCATGCAGAGTGTGCCCTCTTTAATACCCATCACCAGGCTAACCCATCCCCCCACCCCTCCCCTCTAAAACCCTCAGTTTGTTTCTCAGAGTCCATAGTCTCTCATGGTTCATCTCTCCTTCTGATTTCCCCCCCTTCATTTTTCCCTTCCTTCTCCTAATGTCCTCCATGCTATTCCTTATGTTCCACAAATAAGTGAAACCATATGATAATTGACTTTCTCTGCTTGACTTATTTCACTTAGCATAATCTCCTCCAGTCCCATCCATGTTGATGTAAAAGTTGGGTATTCATCCTTTCTGATGGCTGAGTAATATTCCATTGTATATATGGACCACATCTTCTTTATCCATTCATCTGTTGAAGGGCATCTCTGCTCTTTCCACAGTTTGGCTATTGTGGACATTGCTGCTATGAACATTGGGGTGCATATGGTCCTTCTTTTCACTACATCTGTGTCTTTGGGGTAAATACCCAGTAGTGCAATTGCCGGGTCACAGGGTAGCTCTATTTTTAATTTTTTGAGGAACCTCCACACTGTTTTCCAAAGTGGCTGTACCAACTTGCATTCCTTGGGTCAGCCCAGCCAGAAACCTCAAAGTCACCCAAAGTCATCCAAACCCCTTTCTTTCTTCTGCAAATAACATCCAAGTGGCCACCAAGTGGTTTTGCTTCCTTCTGCTAAATAAATGTCCATCCTTTCTGATCCTTTTACCTTCCAAGCATGAATTTATTTGCTGTGGAGCCAATCCCCCCGTGTGCTGGAAATGGTGGCAAGCTAGAGAATGCACGGGTGCACAGGTCACGGCCCCATGGAGGCCTGCTGGCCAGGGGAGGCAGGCACTTGGGGCCCCGTGATGGCAGTGAAGAACGGGTTCAGCAGCACCGGGCCCAGAGGAGTGGCACCACACCCCAGTGGGAGGGCTCTGGGGGTGCTGGGCAGTGTGCGCTGCCCCTGCTGTGTTCATGGGCTCCAATTCTCACCCTTCCTGGACATTCCGTTTCCAGCAGTGGTTCTCACCCCAGGCCTCTCACCTATGAGGATGTTCATGCTGGGGAAGAAAGGGGTTCTAGGAATTCAACTAAACTATGGCTGAGTTGTCTTTCTTTATGTCTTGGGTTATAAAACTGGTGTAGATCTGAGTCTGGCCCCCTGTGCTCAGCTTCTGGCCCTTCTGGAGATACAGGAACTGATCTGTAAGCTGGAAGTGCATGGCAAGGTAGGGAGAGGGCGATGTTTGCCGTCTATGATGAGGCAGCCTCTGCCAGACGTATGTATGCCAGCTGAGGATGGCTCGAAAAGCTGGATAAAATACAAAAATGTCTGTGCAAAGCTTCTGAAGGCTACTGATGAGACTGAGCATTGAGGGCCAACATGTGGAGATGGGGAGACTTCAGAGAGGCAATCTGGCATTTCCGAGGGGCTCTTCGTGAAGTGCAGTGGATGAATCTTGGTGTGGGTGTGAGGGGGAAGTAACCAGCTTGTAGAGAGGCCAGCAGATGCAGCATGGACCCAAGGGGACAAGACCCCAGGGAGATGGCAGTCCCCGAGAAGAGCTCTAGAGCTGCAGGTGGAATCTCAATGCATTTGCCCAATTTTTATGCTATGCAGGAAAGATACTAAGAAAGCCAATGGAAAACCATTAAAACCCAAGCAGAGCTTCTGTAGCCTCATTGCCATGGGGACTCATAACCCTGACGAATGGCCAAGGAGGAGTGGCTCTCGGGTGGGACCCCTGGACAGCTCAGTCCCAGGAAAGGGGAAGCCAGATGTAGGGCAGCCTCACGTCGGTGTGAGTCCTCTGCCCCACTCAGGCCGCCAGCCAGGGCGAGAGCTGAAACTCTTCAGAAGGAGGGAAATTCATCCAGAGCTGCTAGAATTTTTCACAGACAATGTCAAACATTCAATCAAGAATTACAGTCATGCCAAGAGACAAACAGATGATAGAAACAAGCCTGAGATGACAGTGTTGGAGTCAATCAGACACAGACTTTCAAGGTAGTTGTGGTGAAAGTGCTCAGGGAAATAGGTGTAATGAGGGAGATCTTTACTGTAAAACTGAAACATAGACAAACCAGTAGAAATTCTAGACTGAAGAGAACACAGGACTGGCATTTATGAATTGACCGATGGATGTTCTGGTTGTGGGTGGGTGGCAGACGGGACGGACAGCAGGAATGGAGTAATGGGACAGCGTCTTTAAGGGGCCAAAAGAAATGACTGCAGAACTGGAACAGAGCTCCCCAAGAATGCCATTTGGAGGTGAAGGTGCCACAAAACCTTCACAGGACAATGTCTGCTGCCAGACCAGCAGACACAGAGCGGATTCCACACCAGAAGATGCACTTTGAAGTCACTATCACGGGAAGTGATAGTGCACTTTTAGCACTTTTAGGTAGGATGGCCGGAAGGCAAAAGTGAAGGAAAATGGAGAACCTACAAGGATAAACAGGACAGACAACAGGAAACTGGCCCACATTTCCATTCGCAATGTTACGTGTTGTATATTTACAGTTTCCCGTGGGCTCTACGCTGTGGTAGAGATGAACAGTGCAGCTCGAGCAGGGTGAGGAGCTGAGGTGTGCTGGGGTCTCAGGGTTGCTCCAGAAGCGGCCCATGTGCCTGTGCCCGTCAGACTTGACTATCCCAGGAAGCCGTGCTGCAGCCTCTGGGCTGACCTCTGAGACAGTCACGAAACCACAGACAACAAGTAATGAATGGGGGAGGGGAGATAAATAACAAAAATACCCCAAAGCAGTCAGGAAATAGTTTGTAAAAGGAACATAAAACATTTGAGACAAATAGAAAACATGCAATCAGATCGCAGATATAAACCCAATTATCAATAATGAAATTAAATGTAAAGTATTAAATATTTCAATTTACAATAAAGATTGTGATTCTGCACAAAAACAGAAAACCTACATGCAAATTCTAAGAATCAGATCCTAAATATAAGGGCACAGGAAGTTTGGAAGCACAAAGATGGGAAAGATACAAACAAATACACAGGACAATGTGAGATTCTATGCAGCTGCAACCAAGAAAGAGAAATCTTTATGTATTCATAGGAAAGGAGCTCCATGTTATATTGTTACAAAAAAACAGAGGGGGTAGAATATGATACAATTTGTATTTTAAAAATGTATATACACAAATACTTTATACATGTTCGTGCACCTGGATAGAGAGAATAGATGATAGAGTCCCAATCTTCATTATTCATGAATTACTCGCTAAAATTTATTTGTAACCCCAAATCAATACTCACAATGTGTGCGTGGTCATTCGCGGACATGTGCAGAGTGCTCCAAATTTAAGACTTGGACACGCATTCCCAGCTGAGGTGGAATGAGGCTCTGCCTCCTTGTGTCAGCTCCCAGACTGTAAGCCTGTCCTTTACTGTCTCCTTCGTGCTGTGTTTTGCACTTTATGCTGTGATTTTGCTGGTAAAAGTGGCCTCAGGCATAGCACTGAAGGTCTAGGGTTCTGAGCACAAGGGGGCTCATATGCTTTGTGGAGGAAATCCACGTCAGATAAGTCTTGCTCAGTCCTGACTTAAGGTGCTGTTGGTGGTGAGTCCACTGTTAAATAAGATGTATGTCAAGTATTTATTAAAAAGTCGCTTTAAACAGAGACACACATCAAGCCAGCAATGTATTGAAGGTTGCTGAAAATATGACCAAAGCTTGCAGGGACCCAACCCTATGTTCCTCTGGGAGTGATGGTTCAGTGTTCCCAGATTTGCTAATTCAGTGTTTTTGGTGACTTTCTAGAACCTAGCAACTGTGACTAACAAGAATGCACCATGTGCGTGTGTGCACGTGTGTGTGCAGAGAATTAGAAACAGAGAGACACAGAGACATGCAGAGAGATAAAGGGCGGGGGGAATGTAGCTGCTTCCTGAGAGGAGGATGGGGTGCTGGTGGGCAGGGCTGAGGGACGCTCACTCTCCATGGTCACACTGCCGATCTTTCTGTTGTGTTCTGTGTCCGTGCGCTGCCTAGTGACACGGTGGGTTGTCTGGTGTTGTGCGGGGCACGCGGTGAGGGAGTCGGCCAGAAGAAAGGCTGCGGGGGGACTGATGGGGGCCATCCCGACAGATGAGGCTGCCCCAGAGGAAGGCGAGGGCAGTGACCGCCACTGATGTCCAGCCCGGGTGCTCAGGTGGCTCACGCATGACCACAGCCCAGGCCGTGTCCTTGTCCCGAGGGGACAGAGGCTTTGGATACAAAGCCCTGTGGTCTCCCAAGCACACAGACAGGTGGAAAGTGGACACACGGACAGGATGCGCTTTGGTGATGAGAAATGCTCTAGAGCTCAGGCCAGGAGGTCCAGCCCGGCAGGTGGCCCTGGGAAGGCACTGACCACCCCTGGCCTCCGGTTCTTCCTTCACAGGGGGCCACAGTCCTGCATCCTCAGGGGAAGAGGTGTTTGAACCACAGAGAAACTTCCAAATGCTGTCTGCCTGCCAAACGAGCGACTGCCCTGGGGCAGCCCTGGCTGGCGGCTGGATGTCCAACCCACTCCGGCTCCCCTGGGACACTGGGACCGCCCCAGAGTCAGATGCTCCTGGAGATTTATGAGCTGGACCACATCCAGGCAAATAAACATTACTAATGTGGCCTGGGAGCCGGAACTAGAGGCTTGTGGGGACCTGGAACACGAGAGCCAGGAGGGATATAAAGGCTGTCAGCCTCAGGCACCCCACACACGCACACGCACACGCACACCCTCCTCCAGCCCCACCGCCCCCACCATGGCCGCGTCCACCCTGTCCGTCTGCTCCAGCGACCTGAGCTACAGCAGCCGCGTCTGCCTGCCCGGCTCCTGGGACTCCTGCCCCGACTCCTCCTGGCGGGTGGACGACTGCCCGGAGAGCTGCTGCGAGCCCGCCTGCTGCGCTGCCCCCTGCTGCGCCCCCAGCTGTTGCCAGTCCAGCGGCTGCACCCCTGTGAGCTGCGGGTCCAGTCCCTGCCTGACCCTCATCTGCACCCCCGTGAGCTGCGGGTCCAGCCCCTGCCAATCAGCCTGCGCCAGCTCCTGCCAGCCCCCCTACTGCGAGCCCCCCTGCTGCGCCCCCAGCTGTTGCCAGTCCAGCAGCTGCACCCCTGTGAGCTGCGGGTCCAGTCCCTGCCTGACTCTCAACTGCACCCCCGTGAGCTGCGGGTCCAGCCCCTGCCAATCAGCCTGCACCAGCTCCTGCCAGCCCCCCTACTGCGAGCCCCCCTGCTGCGCCTCCAGCTGTTGCCAATCCAGCAGATGCACCCTCCCCTGCTGTGCCCCCCCTTCCTGCCTGACCCTCCTCTGCACCCCCGCGAGCTGCGCGTCCAGCCCCTGCCAATCAGCCTGCACCAGCTCCTGCCAGCCCTCCTGCTGCAGCTCCTCCCCCTGCCAGGAAGCCTGCGGTGCATCCATCTACTGCACCCCTGTCTGCTGCAGGCCCGTCTACCGCACCCCTGTCTGCTGCAAGCCCATCGGCTGCACCCCTGTCTGCTGCAAGGCCTCCCCCTGCTCAGCCCTCTCCTGCAGCCAGCCCAGCCCCTGCTCCTCGTCCTGCTGCAGACCCTCCTCCTGCGTGTCCCTGCTCTGCCAGCCCGTGTGCAGGCCCGCCTACTGCATGCCCGCCTCCTGCCAGCCCAGCTGCTGCCGCCGGGCCTCCTGCGTGTCCCTGCTCTGCCAGCCCGTGTGCAGGCCCGCCTACTGCGTGCCCTCCTCCTGCCAGCCCAGCTGCTGCCGCCGGGCCTCCTGCGTGTCCCTGCTCTGCCAGCCCGTGTGCAGGCCCGCCTACTGCGTGCCCTCCTCCTGCCAGCCCAGCTGCTGCCGCCGGGCCTCCTGCGTGTCCCTGCTCTGCCGGCCCGTGGGCTCCCGCCAGGCCTGCTGCGTGCCCGCCTCGGCCCAGAAGTCCTGCTGCTGACGGGGCACATCCCCTCCGGGGCCAGCTGGGCTCAGGACCCACCCAGTGACGGTGGTCCTCCTAGCCTCCCCTCAGTCCAGTCCTAACCCCAGGACGGGGTCCCCCATGTGTCCACTCTTCTGACCTGACCTTGACCTCCTAGCTCCCAGGCACGCTAACCCCGCTGCTCCCCGGGAGGTGCCTACACCTGTTCTGGTCCCCTGTCCCTCCCAGTTTCTCTGCTTGGGTCTCTTGGCCTCAACTGCCGACCTGTCAGCACCTCCTCGGGCACCCCAATAAACTCACTTCACCAATGAATCTGCTTCCTTTCATCTGACCCTCATGGGGGCGGGGGGATCCCAGGGTTTTGACCAGACACTGGTCTCGTCCCGCCGTGAACATTTCTAGGAATGAGGGACTGAGAAATCGCACAGGGCAGGGGCCTGACTCCTCTGGGCAGGGCCCTGGGGTGGGAGCCACGCCCTCGCCCAGGACGGTCAGTGCTGCTGGGTCCTGCATGCCCAGGGTTTCCCGAGGCTGGGCACCTGCACACGGGTCGTGGTCTGGGGGTTCTCAGCCCCTGGCCCGTTTCCACCCACTGCCCCAGCTGGGCAAACCGGCCCCAGACAAGCAGGCCTGGGGGCTGTAGGCAGCACAGCCCCTATGGGCCTGGGGTCCCCCTGGGGTCCTCCCGCGGGCTCTACCCATTTCTCGGAAAGGTGGTGTCATGGGGGAGGTACTGCTCCAAGCTCCTGAAGAAAACGACTAGGTTCGAAACAAAATATTAAGGGTGGGTGGCAGGGCCCCAGGATCCCGTCCTGGGCTGGACTCAGGGCCATCATCTGGTAGGTCTGGACTCTGCCTGGGAGCACGAGGGACTCAAAGTCCCGGTGCAGGGCCTTCCCTGTGACCTGAGAACCCCGTCAGGCCACGATTGCTGTGGACAGTGGCCTGCTCTGGTGTCAGGATGCCAGTGGCATCGTGTGAGGACGCTTGTGGACAAGGGCGGGGACATCCAGCAAGAACCCCGACCCAGGGCTCCAGAACTGTTGCCAGCAGTGGCCCAGTGGCCCTGCCCCAGGAAGGACCGGACAGAGGTCAGCCTTCCCCTCCCGAGTCCTCCCCTCCGGGCCCGAGAGCCCCTCACTCTCCCCCCGGCTGTGTCCATGGCCAGAACCTACAAAGGGAGCCCGTGCAGTCCCCTGGCTCTCGGTCTCCTTTCTTGAAACCCCAGCCACCTCCCGCCCCATGCCACACTCCCCACCTGCTGCAAGTTCCTTGCCCACACCCTTCTCCCCGACCAGTGTTTTACCTAATCCTTCCATTTAAAATCAGCTCTGTCCAGGTACAGTTTACATATAATCAGACGCACCCTATTTCATTGTACCGTTTGATGAGTTTTGAGAAAGGTCTGCATCTTGCAGCCTCCACTGGGGACAAGAGGTATCAGCTTCCCTCCTACCAAAGGTTTCTCTGAGTCCCGAGTCTCCATGCCCATCTGCCGCCTGGGAGCAGGTGCTCCCGGAGCTGCTGAAGTTGATCTTTTCTGGAGCATCCAACGGAAGGAAGTGTACAACAGGCATGCTCCGTGTCCGGCTTCTTGCACTTGCCTCTTTGGTTGCATACCTTCATAGTTAATTCCTTTTAATTGACGAGGAGTGTTTTATTGAATGGATGTATCGCAGCTGTTTATTCACCTGTTGAAGTCCATCTGGGGTGTCTCCAGGTTTTAATGGTTATGAAGGAAGCCCCTGTAAGCACCTGTACTCTGCATGTTGTTCTCTCTCGGGTAAATACCTAGGCGTAGGCTTGCTGGGTCCTGTGCTAAGTGGGGTGAGCAGGGTGATATTTGCCCTTCCTGATGGCTACTGTGTGTGGGTGGATCAGCTTCCGGTGTGCCTGTTCGTGGTTGTCTGAAGTGTCTGCTCAGATCCTCTGCCCATTGTTCTGCAATCAGACTGTATTCTTATTCGCTGTAAGTGTTCTTCACTTATTGCAGGTACCAGTCATTTATCATATGTGTACATTGCAAATTCCCCCACCTGTGCCTAGACTTCTTACCTTCCTTTTTTTTTTTTAAGATTTTATTTATTTATTTGACAGAGAGAGACACAGTGAGAGCAGGAACACAAGCAGGGGGAGTGAGAGAGGGAGAAGCAGGCTTCCCGCGGAGCAGGGAGCCCGATATGGGGCTCGATCCCAGGACCCTGGGATCATGACCTGAACTGAAGGCAGACGCTTAATGACTGAGCCACCCAGGTGCCCTGACTTCTCATTTTCTTGACAGTACTTTTCAGTAGCTGACATCCTTAATTTTGATAAAATTCAACGCATTCCCTTCCTTCAGTGGTGCTAAGGAATTTTTGCCCAAACCCGGGGTCACGCCGGTTTTGTCCTATGTGTACTTCTAAATATTCTATGGTTTTAACTGTCAGGTTAAGTTCTATAATCCCTTTCAAGTTAATTTTTGAATATGTTGTTCATTGTTTCTAGCATCATTTGTTGAGAAAACTATCCTTTCTCCACTGACCGACGCTTGCCAAAAAATCTATTGACCGTATATGTGTGGGTCTATTTCTGGACCCTGCTCTGTCCGGTCTTCAGCCTTTGTTCTTATACCCATAACACACTGTCTCCATCAACGCAGCTTTAAATGAAGTCTTGAAATCCAGCAGTCATCCAATTCCGTTTTTCTTTTTCAAAATTGGTTGGCTATTCTAGGTCCTTTACATTTCTGTATCGATTTTAGAATATATTTTAGAATCAGCTCATCGCTCTCTAAAGAATAACTTGCTGGGATTTTTATTGGAATTGTGTTAAACTTGCAGGTAAATTTGGAAAGAATCGACATTTTAACAATATTGAGTCAATTCATAAACATAATATCTATTTCTAGTCATTTAGGGTAACTTTTTTTCTGCAATACTTTATCATTTTTAGTACATCGACATTGTACATATATTAAGTTTCTCTATTATTTCATTTTTCAGTGTTTCAGTTAATGGTGTGTTTATTTCATTTCCAAGTACTCATTGCTACCATGTAGAAATTTAATCAGTTTTTGTGTGTTGACCTTGTATCCTGTGACCTTGCTAACTGCACTTAGGAATTTTAATAGTGTTTTTATATATTCCTTAGGTTTGGACGTGACATTTTCTTTGTGGGAAGGATCTTAACTATAATTCAGTTACTTCAATTGATAGAGGGCTATTTTGGTTTTCTATTTCTTCTTGTATGAGTTTTTATATGTATATCTTTCCAGGTATTTGTCCATTTCACCTAAGTTGTTGCATGTGTCATTCACTTAAGTTGTCGAATGTGTCAGCATCAAGAGTTGCCTTCTTCTTTTATTGTTTTTTTAATGTCTGTAGAATCTGGGGCTATAGCCCTTTCTTTATTCCTGATACTATTTATTTCCTTTTCTTGACCAGTCAAGGTAGAAATTTATTAATTTTGGTGATCTTTAAAAATTAGATTTGATTTTATTAATTTTCTTGTGTTTGTCCATTTTCTATTTGGTAGATTTCTACACTTCTTGATTATTTCCTTCCCTCTACCTATTTTGGATTCAACTTGTGCTTATTTTTTGTAGCTTCTAAAGATAGAAGCTTAGATAATTGATGGATTCCTTCTTTTCTAATATAAATTATTAAAGCTATACATTTCCCCCATATGCTGTGTTAGTTGCATTCTATAAAGTTTATTTTTATTTTATTAAAAATACTTCCAATTTTCCATTGTGATTCCTTCTTTGACTCATGGATTATTTTGAAGTGTGTTATTTAATATCCAAATATTTTTTGGTTTTCCAGATATCTTTCTGTTCACGACTTCTGATTTTGTTGTGGTCAAACAACATTCTCTGTATGATGCCAGTTATTTGTCCTCTTAAATATATTAAGACTATTAAATATATCAAGACTGGTTTTATGGCCCAGCATATGATTCTTTTTGGTGAATGTTCTATGTACATTTGAAAAAAATGTGAATTCCAGTTCACTGTTGTTGGATGGAATATTGTATACATATCAATAAGGTCAGGTTAGTGTATAGTGTTTCTCAAGTTTTCTATATACTTCTCAATTTCATCAAACTTGGAAAACATTTAGCCATTGTCTCTTTAAATATTTTTCTGTCTCCCCTCACCCCTGACCTTTTTCCTCAGGGACTCCAGTTATATTTATGTTAGACCATTTAATATTGTTGCTCAGATCACTGATGCTCTGTTAATTAAAATTTTTTTTTCTTACTGTCTTTCAGTTTGGGTAATTTCTATGATTATGTCTCCTAGGTCATCTGCAGTCTTTATTTTACTTTTAAATTCATCCTTTAAATTTTTTATTGTTAATGTTATGTTTCTTACCTCTTGCAGTTCCATTTGGTTCTCTTTTGTATCTTACATTTCTCTCTTCTTTGTGTTCATGTCTTCCTTGAAATCCTTGAACATATTTATCATTGTTGCTTTAACTATCTTGTCTGCTAATTCCAGCATCTGTCATTTCTGAGTTTGTTTGTATAATCTGTTTTGCCTCTTGATTATGGGTTAGATTTTTTTTCCTCTTAATGTATCTAGTGCTTTTGGGGCACCTGGCTGGCTCAGTTAGTTGAGCATCCAACTCTTGCTTTTGGCTCAGGTCCTGATCTCAGGGTCGTGGGATGGAGCCCTGTGTTGGGCTTCACACTTAGTGCAGAGTCTGCTCAAGATTCTCTCTCTCCCTCTCCCTCCCCTTCTGCCCTGCCCCCACTTGTGTGCACGCATGTGTGCACGTGCTCTCTCTCTCAAATAAATAAATAAATAAATAAAAGCATTAAAAAATGTGTCTAGTAATTTTTTATTGGATGCTGGGTTTCAATAAAATAATAGTGTAATACTGTTGAATGTTGTACTTTGTTTCCTTCCTTTAAAGAGTGCTGGGCTTTGTTCTGTCTGGCACTTACCACCTATGGATTGGCTTGATAACTGGGATGCTTCTGTGCTTGTTTTTATGTTTTGTTATGGCAGATTGAGAGAAGCCCTTACT